ATCTGACTCAAAAAGAGCCAGGTCGGGGGGGGGGGGGGTGTCCACAAGCGCACAAAACCGAAGCTGCTGAAGAAGACCTTTTCATACCAGAGGTTTTTGGGGGCTATGAGCTTCCGAAAATCAAAGTTCCCTTCACCAGATATGAAAGAGGGATCTCGCTTTTCTGACTCACCGGCTCCCCTCTGAAAGTGGGAATGGAGACCAGCGTTCCCTCTAAGCGGAGTGAGTGTGAGCTAGCTCACAGTTTTTTGCCTCCGTCTCACACGGTTTTGTCTTCGCTCAGGAAGGAAGGAGGGGGCTCCAGAGCAAACTAATTTGTGCAGCAGCCAAATGGCTCCCTCACAACTTTCATGCCAGGAGCTCACAAAGTAGAAATTTTGCTCACAGGACTCCACAGCTGAGGGGGAGCATTGATGGAGACCCCGGAGTCCTTCTTCAGTCCCCTTATCTGAGGAAGGGAGCTTTGACTCTGGGACGCTCCTACCCTGAACATCTGGTTGGTCTCTCAGGTGTGCCCGGACTCGAACCCAGCTCTTCTAGGGCAGATCAGCACAGCTACTCTCTGAAAGCAGGAACGGAGATACCCTGGGACCTTCCACCCCAGCTGCGACACAAGTAGGAACTGAGGTCCTTGCGCCTCGTTATCTGACAAAGGAGACTTGGACTCCGGAAAGCCCTGGGATGCTTGTCCGTCTCCAAGCTGCCCCTGAGTTCGAATCCCGCTCTCCTCCCGCCGACCTGCCGGGCTACCCACCTGAACCACTTCTCACAGGCTCCTTTCTTCCCCTCAGCAGCCAAGCAGCAGGTCAGGATGCGGCGCCAGGTGGGACTCCAACAGCAGCGGGGCCACCCCCCGCGGAGCCCCGCTTGGCTCCGGAGCCAGTCCGGGTCGGGCGAAGCGCAGGTGAGTGAGCTCTCTGCCGGAGAAGGCGCGCCCTGGCTGGCTGGCTGGCGGCGGCCTCGTGCTCCTTCCCTTCCCGGAGAGAGGCCTCTGGGGCCGGACGCGGCTAGTTCTTCTCCAGGCCGGCGCGACTCCCCGGGAGGCGGCAAGGGGGACCGGCAGGCGGGCACTCCGCCAC